TCAGTTGCTCAAGGCCCTCCTCCGCACCTTGCCAGGGACATCTTAGTGCGGATGGCCGGGTGCCATGTGTCCGCGGGAGATCAGCATCTTCATCCGACTAGCTTTGTGCATCCGATAGTGCGCAGTGTACGCAACCAAGCCGTCTTCGGCTGTCCAAGCGGCAGGGCTTCTGGAAGTGCTCACATGGCGAAGTACTTGTGACTTGTGGTCCAAAACTGCGGACAAATTGGGAACGAGCGAAGGACCAGCTGCAAGTTGGCATCTTCGGGCTTTCTGAAGCCGCACACTGCGACAGAAGACATGAAGTCGGCAGAAAACAAAAGCCTCGTGCACTCGTCTCAACTGGCTGAGGTGCTGAGGGCGCTGAATTCCGGTGCCCAGAAGCCGGCACAGGATTCGCCATTGTAGCTCAGTGTTTTTCTCCCAGAACCTTCGAGATTCATCTCAATGTGCCACTAGCCCCAGTGCTGGCTTCCTTGCTCAGGCCTTTACGATGAGAGATGTTCTGTTGTGTTCACACGCAAAGGGCTTGCATGGCTTGCAGGGCTTGCATGGCTTGCGGGGCTTGCATGGCTCACTCCGCACCTCTCTGGCAAAATCCAAGAAGCACAGGCCACGCGACCGCACGGCTTTCCACAGTTTCCCGCAGGTTCCCACCGACTCCCAGATGCGCTGCGCAGCTCCGAGGATTCTGAAGTCGTGTTTCTTGGTTGTGGTTCCACCCTGGCTATTGTTCGTAGTGACTGCAGTGCACTCGTTTTCCCGGGGGATGCGCCCCAGCCCAAAGCAAGCGCATTGCCCGAGGGCGTGATGTGTCGATGGCAAGGGCTGCAGAGAGATGCCGAAGGCCTCCTTGAGTCGTGACAGTGTTTGAGACGTCTGAGAGGGAAGGCAGCTGAAGGTTGGCTCAGCCTTGGCGTCCTTGGCGCCCCCCTTCCAAATCCTCATCGAGATATAAAAGCCCGGAGCTCGTGCAACACATCCTCTCCATGCTGATCATGCTCTTTGGCGGCTTGACGCGATGGATGTGATGTGCCCTGAAGCAAACAGCGAAGTGCATGAAGCTGGCCGGTCAAGGCGGGGCGGGTCCTTCACTATTCAATCTTGTCGCGGCGCCTCGACCATTTCAAGACCCGAAGTCCTGATATCTTAAGGTTGACCAGCGCATAGGGCACGGGTTGCAATTGATCACGAAGGCCCCGGTGAAAAACTAGGCGCCTCGACTTCGAGGCGATGGTGACACGGTTCGGCTGTGCCTTTTGCAGCCCTTGAGCTGGACGAATGCAGCCGCTTCCCCTTCGACAACCTTCCTTGCATGGACTCCGACACATCATTGAGGGCATTGTCCGTAAAAATTTTCCGGTGGCGGGGCATTTCTGGATGCCTCCTATGAGACATGGGGGCATCGTCGCCTTTGGTTTGTTGCCGGGTTTCTGATTGCTTTTACCAACCAAGATCAACCAAGGCTCTCAACCCCGCCAATCCAAGAATCCTTCAGCAGTGATGGGCATGCTTGCGGTCAACGAGGTCTTGAGATCTCTCCTGATTAGCTGATTAGCTTGACAGACGTCTTGGTTGATGGACGTACTCGGGAGCTTGGTCAAAGTTAGCACTGGACTGACAGGACCTGCGTGAGACTTTGCAGCACGAAGGCCTAACTTTTTCCGGACGACGAGCGCTAGGCCCCAGAATTCTCAAGACAGGGGCAGCACGGCAGCATGTCGTCACCAGGTACCCACCGTCTCCAACGCAAAGAGCCGACTTCAAAACCCGCTCCGTAGGCAGCTTTTGCATCGGTTGTGCGGACATCCTTCAGACACCAGCAAGTGTGCAGCCATCGATTCCTGTCATCACTGATTCGGTATTCACATGCATTCACATGCGACCTCAAGACTTGAAGCTGGTGTGCCAAGGGATTCTGCATCAAGAAGCTCATTCAAACCAGTCAAAGCCCTTCCCAAGAAGGGCTTTGCCTTGTCGTATGTCACTGTCACTGTACCACATGGAAGTAGGGAGCTCATGGAGATCTCAGCGCACTGGGGGGAGCTAAACAACAAGGAGCTCCATCAGCTCGCCTTTCTTTGCTCCCAGCTGCCACGCCGTCCACACGGGGGCCTTTAGGAAAGTCACACTTTTCACTTAGCCTTTCACTTCTTTCAGCCTTCCAGTCTCTTTCACTTCAGTTCAGCCCTTAACCCTTTTAAGCCTCTCGCTTTGTGGCCACGTAGCGGGTGAGGCGAGCATTTTTCTTTCGTGCTTGCATTGCAAAGAAGAAGGGGAAGGGGTGGGCCGAGAGTGTCGAGACTCCTCTTTTGAGCAAGCGCCGGTGGCTTCCACATCCTTCAAGCCTTGCAGGCCCAGAAGCCTGTGACTGGGAGCCCGCAAACGGGAGAGTAAAGTCCAATAGAGTACAGAAGGCCCTGCTTCAGTGAGGCGTCAATGGCGCCATCATGGCGTCACCAGAGTCAGCCCTGAGACGTTGAGAGCCTGAGAGTGGGGAGTTGCGAATTCGTCATGCTCGGGGCTTCGCTGGCGACGCTGCTCACGGCATAGCCCAGGCATAGCCCATGCATCCCCTGCCAGAGGGAAGAGGCTTCTTAGATGCCCGTTCAGCACTGACCACGCTCACCGTGATTGAGTGTCAGGACCAAGCCCAAAACAGGTGTGTATGCAAACCTGCGCAGCCTGATCCCTGTTTTTCGCCTGCATGCTTTTGCCGCTTGAGAGCTGTTTGAGTCAAGGGCATTTACCGTTGTGCAACGTCGAGATTGGCTTGAGAAGCCCAGGGTTCCGACACAGTGTGGGTCGCATAGCATAGCACCCGCGTGCCCTGCCAGGGGCCCCGTTCATATCTTGGATCAATCAGGCATGTGCGATGAGCCCTGCTACAGGCTCTGCATCTCAGCCTTTCATCTTCGGTTCGAGGCCAAGACATGAGCTTTCAGCTTGCATAGGGGTCTTAGTCAGGGCATGCACTGTGAGCGAGCTGCCAGTTCGATGATAGAGGATGTGGTGATGCCGTGGATGCCATGGAATGACAACGGCCTCACACATTTTGCCCCTGCGGCTTTCCATGGCTTTCCCAGCAAATCCCATCTTGCCTCCCAAGGTCCAGCTCCCAGAGCCCACATGTAGGCGCAAGACTGGTGCAAGGCGCAAGACTGGTGCAAGCCGCATCCCTGTTTCGTGGAAAGATTTGGAAGCCCTATCCAAGTACAAAAGTTGTGCAAAGAAAAGACTCCTGCAACCAGTGCCAAGGTGCAAGGTGCATCGCCGAGTGTTTCATCCCTCGCCCAAAGGATGCTGTGGCGGCACGGCCTAATCTCGCCTGTGGAACAGGTTGATGATCCGTTGCCAACATCTCAAGCTGCCGCTGCTCATGCCTCCGTGGGCCCCGCTAAACTCCAAGAGGCTCCGCGAGGCTCCGCGAGGCTCCGCGAGGCTCCGCGAGGCTCCGCGAGGCTCCGCGAGGCTCCGCGAGGCTCCGCGAGGCTCCGCGAGGCTCCGCGAGGCTCCGCGAGGCTCGAGCATTTTTCGGCATGGGGCCGTCAGGAGATCTCCCGGAGATTTCCCGCAAAACAGATGCGGGCAAGCGCTTTGCATTGTTGAAAGTGATGGTGCAAGAATCCGGATCCAGCTGCGAATCAATACCCACCAATGAAAGGGTGCACTTGCCCCACTCGTGCACCCTAAACCCATAAACCCGATCCGCTCGTAAAGTCAGGGGTTCCTGGCATGAGACCTAAAAGGGCTTAGGTCGGAGGCAGCCAGGCAAGCATGGCGATGGCTGCAAGGTGCGAACCTTGCAGGCTGGCCAGGTGCATTGACCAGCAACCTTCACCTTGCAAGGTCAAATTGCGCAGTGGCTTGTTGAGTGCTTAGCGGTGCCAACACCAGGTGTAGATCTCCCTCAAGACGAGTAGTTTGCGCAGTTGCCTGCATCATGCATTGGGAGTCGAAACCCCCCATGGCTTCGTCGTGAGGGCCGAAAGGCCGCGCTCCTGAAGTTGGACCGCTCCCCATTTTGTGTGGCGTGACTTAGAACCAAATGCTTAAGGTTTCAAGCCTAGGGTCCTGCACCTGTTCCTCCAGGCTATGTTAAAGGCAAAGAGATGCGCAGCCGCCGACAGCGACAGCGCGGTGTATCCTAATCTCTGAATTCTAAGAATTGGGCCATAGCCAATGACCCCCTTGCGCGCTTTTTGGCTTTGGCCGTCTTACCCCACAGGTCTTCGTGCTTGCACCCATTTTGGTGGAGATTTTGAGGGCGACCGGTGACCGGTTGCATCGTGTTGCGTCATGTTGCATCGCCAGCCCAGAGTGTTTTTTCAGAGTGTCTTCTATTGTCTTGGTCCCTTGAAACGGCGCATCCTGCAACTTGCAGCTCTCAGCAGAAGTCATGTCAAGGAATCAAGGACTCTTGTAAATGTGTGAAATGACTCTCTTTTTGGACGGAGCCAGGTCGCCCGTTTTAGCTTGCACTCCGTTGCCTTTGAAATCCTTTGACTGTTTCTCCATGTCTGAGCCTTAAACGCCTCTTGCCGCCGTGCTCCCAACAAGACCTTGAACGAGACCTGGCGTGCTCTAAGGGCTTGTGGCCAGACATGTCACGCCAGGTAAGGAAAATCCCAAGGCGCCCAAGCCTTAGCCTTCAAGCTGGGTGGGACAAGTCGGAGCCCCAAAAAGGTTGCACAGTTGGGGCCTTCACGTTCTCCGGGGAACAGGGTTTAGGGGCCCTTGTGTCCAGCTTATGAGCTTACGGACTCTTGCAATCCAAGGCACATGATTATAGCACCCTTGAGGCCAATGACTGCATTTCTCGAGCCTCGGGTTCCAAGATGTCCCCGTCAGGGTCGCGTTGCCTTGAGTGAAGCTTGCATAGGTTGCATAGCTTGCATAGCTTGCTGTAGGTATGCAAGAGGGCATGCTGTTGGGGTAGAGGGTGCACCTGTGACCAGTAGGCTGGCAAGCTGCTCCCTTGGTTCCCACGGTTGAGGTGATCAAGCGCTCTGCTTTTGAGCTCCTGTCGGAAGGATGATTGGGGTGGTTGGGGCACTCGGCTGCCTCATTGCTGGCCGCAGGTTGATGGGGAAGTCGAAGATAGAATGCTGGACTAGGAGGATCTGGAAGGCCCCTTGTGTCACACATAAAGCCTTAGCTTCGTCCTTCTGGTGCCAGGTGGCGGAGTCAGTTGAGTCAATGATTCCAGCAAAGGCGGTGGATTCCGAGGACTCAGCTTGATCAAGTTGCCCATTGTGAACCATGGGCTTGAAGCCCAGATTCCGAGTATCTTGGGATCTTGAGTTTCCCTTTTGCTCTTGCTTTCGCACAACGAAAGGCCTGCTTGCAGCCCATGCTGCGGCCATTTTACCAGTAAAGAAGGCCTTTGCTGCCAAAGGCGCCCTGACCATGTTCTTGTAGGACCTGCGGGATTCGCAGGCTTCTTCAAGCCGCTTCTCTCGGCCATCCTCCATACAACATTCATCAGACGCCTTCAAGATGCACCCGCGGAGATAACGGGAGGGTTCGGTCCATGTGCGATGGGGGGCCCTGGAAGCTTCCGCAGCTGCGCTCAGTTCTCTTGGGTCAACGTAAAAAAGACTGCCAATGATTTGCAGTCAACATACACGGACCGTAGGTTGTTAGTCTACGGTCTCTGTTTGTTTGTCGTATTTTCACGGTCTTTAGTGATTTCATGCTGCCTCCCACTGCCGTGCCCTTCGGATCCTTCCAGCGGCCTAGCGGCTTGCTCAGCTCTTAGCAGCTCCGTGCTATCAGTGCCACGTCCAGTTCCCAGGGGACAGAAGGGCCACCAACAACATCCAAGTGCATAGTTGCCCATGGCATGCGAGGTCTCACTAGCCAGCTGAACGCAGATGACATAAAGGCCCTTGTCGCAGCTACGCGAATGTGGCTCATGCCAGGCCCGACATCTACAACAACATACAACACAGCGGCGCGCAGCTTCTTAAGCTCGAGGTCTCCGTGGAGTTCACGCCCTTGCGTAGTCAAGGCATAGCCCGTATTAATGTCCAGGCTTACAGCTGTACAGATACTTGGTCGGAACCTGCGCATGGTGGCCTCGATCTTCCGGGCAGCCCAGGTGCAATGTCCTTGCCCAGTGCTCCGACTTTTGCCTATAAGCAGGCTCCCGCATCATGTCTGGCAGCCAGATGTTCAGAACTTCCTGCGGTGGATACAGCCGTCCTATCCATGATGGGTCTTTGTGGCATGCGGCTCCCGTCGTTAAAGGGCATGGCCGCGTGGCCTCAATGCAGAAAGCCCGAGGCAACAGCTGGGCCATGCTGGGCCCAAGGACTGCACTGAGATCCTCAAGACACAACTGCACTTGAGAGCCTCGTCGCAGCAGCAACTTGTTAGAGCCGTGCATATTCGCATGTCTTCTTCGCTTTGACGACCCAAAGTGTGTTTTGACTCTGCCGACCTCGTGCTTTCCAGGCTGACTTTTGCTTCCACCGTCCCTCTATGCCTGAAAATTTACTTAAATGCTTCGGCTTGGGCTCGCAGTGTTGCTTGAAGCCGGGCCCTTCCGCCGCCCCTGTCACCTTTGTTGATCTGCTCCGGCTGAGTCCGAGTCCTTGAGTCCTTATCTGCGTCCTTCTCTGCGTCCTTCTCTGCGTCCTTCTCTGCGTTGTGAGCTCCGCTGGCTCCGGAGGTTGCCGTCGGTTTGCCACGATCTTACGAGACCGTTTCTCCAGAGGCGTTCTGTGTTTTTCTTGGTAAGGCACTCAAAGAGAGTATGTTGAGATTGTTGAGGTGTTATCTGTTGAGTGGAAGTCCACGAGGCAAAGGCCGCAGAGGTTGTTGAGGAAGTTTGGGACATGGTAATGCTGACCGTTTCTGACCCCAAGTCCTCAACTTCCTAAACTCCAGAGTGGTCCCGCGGGCCGCTTGACGTCCCAAGTTGGCCGGTGCCCTGAACCACCAGGCCCGCTATATCACCAGGCTCTGTGCTTGGGCCTGGAGCTCTGAGGCTTTGCATGCAGTGCAAAACGTCCTGTCGAGACTTTGGCACAGCCACTGGGGCAAAGCTGCAGATGCAAGTTTCTAAAGTTGTGCCTTGCCCAAATAGGATGTTGCTGAAAACTGGGCCTGGCCAAGCCTTGTGTAGGCTGTTCGCACTCGTCCCATCCACCCTTCCTCCAGAGCCCTGTCTGTTCCCACTCGTTGTCTTGCTCTCCGGCTGCCAGTTAGGCGAAGTGGCCCCCTCGTGCAGCTTTCGCGACGAGGTGACTCACAGATCGTGGATTGGTTTGACGTGAATGTAGGATTCGCTTGAAAACCAGGGTCGTTCTCGGGCCCCCACTCCACTGCGACGGGCAGCTTCTGGGCCACCCAGGTGGTAGGCCCTTGAACCCTTAGAATTGAAGCTCGAGCTTTCCGCAATTCGAGGGGCAGCAAGCGCAAGGGATTGGATGCTGGACCGCCTCGGCGTTCAGGCAAGAAGCGTGGCCTGGGATCAAAGGAACTTGAAAACTTGAAAGTAAAGCAGAGGACGCAGGCCATGGAGGCCATGGAGGCCATGGAGGCCATGGAGGCCAAGGAGGCCAAGGAGGCCAAGGAGGCATGGAACGAAATCCAGTCCAGCAGTTTTGGACAGTGTGCCGTAATTCTTTCCGGGAGAGCACGAATCCCCCACTTTTGTAAATTGAGGGAGGCAGGGTCTCAGGTCCTGATGTGCCAATATCCGTCTCCATTTCTGGGTTCGTCTCGCTGGTTGGCCTTGATGGCCTTGAGGTTCAGGATAGCTGGCACGACTCTCGACGCATGAAAATCCTGCTTTCTCGCCTGTGTATCCTGACGTTGGTCAACCATGTGAGACTCCGGAGTTGCGGAGTCTCGTAGCCATGACAGCTCCCAGGGACGTCAGGCATTGGCAGCTCCATTTTCCATCCCCCGTAGTCCTAGCACGCTGGGGATGAGCACGGTTGATTCTTGTGGCCCTTGGCTCATTAAAGCAAAAGAAAGGCAACTGACAGCTCGGGGTTCCGGAGAGCCACATGCCACAAGGGCCTCCCTCAAGGCTCCGAGAAGTCATCAGGAGCCTTAGTCTTCGGATCGGGGACCCTTCCGTGACTTAGCCTGCAGATCACAATGCCAGAGTGACGTTTTGAACTTTTGATACTTCGGAAGTCCCAGACCGCCCTGACCGCGCCGCCTTTGAAGCCTTTAAAGCCTTTGGTTTCGCAACTCGTGCGCTTCGGCTTCGACTGTCCGGCTTGACGCTAGTGTCCCACCCTTTCTGAACTCTAAGGACATTAAGGCCATCCCCATCCAGCATTGCCGGTTCAGCTTCCAAAGATTCCAGAGATCTAAGTCCATCTGGTGCATCGGGCATGAACAGAGCAGGAAGCCTTCTGCTTACCCAGCTTGAACAGTGCCGAGGAGGGAGGTGGCGGCTTAGTCTGCTCGCCTGTTTCGGAACACTGTCCAAGACTTGTTCTCGGTCACGTGTGCGGAGGCGTTGAGCAGGAGGCAGGGCCATATGTCATGCGATGCCAGTCTCTGTCAACGAAGTGTTGAGCTGTCTCGTCGTATCCAGGCCAGAGCTCCGCGTAACAGTTTTCGATCCATATACACACCTTTGCCTTGATTGTGATACACACCTTTGCCTTTGATTGTGAAACGAAAGAAATCTGTTTCCAAGCGCTGAGTCATGGATTGAGAAATCAGCGCTTCATGAGAGTGGCCCCAGGATCCCTCACATTGTCGTCCAAGAGTGAGCCTCGGGGTATTTTTAGCTTGGAGCCAAGGGTCCAGGAAACATCAGGAAGCCCTTCCACAAAACACCGCAGGACGTCATGTAGGGCCTCCCAGCGATCTGCAGTCCTACAACCGTGATTGCGGCTTTGCTTTGCGCCCGCCACGAAGACGCCAGCCTTTGGGACAGCGCCCAGCGCCTCTCGAAATTCGAAAGCCAAAAAGTTACTGGGAAAAGTCGTCAAACAGGTCCCAGGATCGTGGTGCGCTGGCTCCGCTGTTGAGGCCTCGAGCTCCGCCATTGATTGAACATGCCAGCATAAATGCTTAAATTCTGGCATGCTATGAGCACTCTAACTCTGTAGGTGTTGGCTGGATGTGTTTGGCGCCCGTTCATCGAAACCTCTACTCCAGGCCATACACATGGTGACTCTCAGCCCATCAGATCGGGTATGCCAACTGCCGCTCATCCTCAAAGCCTCCACTGATCATGGTCAACCAGGCAGAAGCTATTGCGGCCGTAGACTATGCAGACAGTGCAGACAAAGCGGACACGAGAAGCAAGAGAGTCGCCCACGAGTGTGGGTGAGCGCCTTGCAATCCGATCTGAGAAGCTTCAGGTTCCTGGAGGCCTTTGCAGTGGCTGCTGTGCGGGCGGTGCTTTGCAAAGCTCAAAAGGCCCATCGCCCCACAGGCAGAACGATCTGTACCAAGCTCGTGTATTGGAGTGCCACGCTTACGTCTGGAAACTCCGGACGCCCGTCGACCCCCATCCTTGCCTTTGGTCCCCCAAGGCAGTAGAGTGGAGCGCGATATTTACGGCGGGGATGTGGAAAGAAGGCTAGGCAAGCATTCGCTACTGTTCTTGCTGGGCTCGCCGTCATGTTAAGAGACCCTTGCAGAGCACCTTCTGGGCTCGAGAGTGCGAAACAAAATCGCCGCCTCTGCATCCTTCGGGCTTTGTCGGTGGCCTGGCGAAGCAAGAATCCCACAGTCTGCATCGGCTCGCTGCATTCCTGTACACTACAAGAAGCCCGTCAAAAGTGTTTAAACCCTGTTCCTGTATCGTTGGCATCTCTTCTTGCAGCACTTCTCTGGCAAGCAACTGCCAAGAGGCGATGGCTCTCGTTTGTGCGCGGGAGTCAAGAGCCTATTTCAGTCGGCTTTGCTTGTCCAGGCTTCACGGTGGTCGGATCTGGACTCTAGGGAAAGTGCGCAAGAGTCAGCAGGCTTCGCGTGGCAACAGGTTTAAAAGCTTGTGCCAGCTGTCGCACTTGCAGCAGCTAAAGCAGCTAAAGACTTCAACAGTTTGTCTCCTACTTCCACCCAGCCAGGTCCAAATCTCGGGCCTCCTTTCAACAACACTTGGGGGCTGGCCCGTTGGTCCCCCGCTAGAGCAATCCAAAGCACGCAGCTGAGCAGTTTTTCCACTTTTGCAGCACTTCCTTCGCGCCTGTCATCATTCTGTTCCGGAGAGTAGCCGGGTAGCCTTGCACGCCGAGCCTTGGTCGTGGCGGCAATGCTTGCTCAGCATTCGCCTCTACCATGTGGCCTTGTTGAGCTGCAGCTGTAGCTCAGAAACCCCAAGCCTCCAAAACACCGGCATACGATGCACGTTAGTAGTGTGTCCCAGATTGTCCCAGGCGTTGAATTCCCAACTAAGACCTCGAAGTCTGCAGCGTTGTAAAGTCTACGGATTCCAGTCAGAGCCAGAGCTTTGGGATTTTTTGGGCCTCTACGATGAGTCGCTTGC